CAGTCAGAGCCGCCATCCATCCACCATCGCCTCGGACCCGTCTACGAACGAGAGAGAGAGAGAGAGACAGACAGACAGACAGACAGACAGACAGAAAGACAGACAGACAGACAGAGCTGCCATCCATCCACCAGCGCCTCCCTCCTCCCTCCAACACTCCCCTGCACCGTCGCCCGTCTTCCTCCCTCCATCGGCTCCTTCCACCATCGCCCTCCGTCCACCATCGCCTTCCTCCTCCTCCCTCAATCCACCCATCATCGCCTCCCTCCTCTTTCCATCACCACCTCCCTCCACCATCGCCTCCTCCAAATCCCGACACACCATTAACCCCCAAAACCCACCATCGCCTCCCCCCTCTCTCCATCCACCCACCACCACCTCCCTCTTCTCTCCATCACCACCTCCCTCCACCATCACCCTCCCGCGAAACCCCAAAACCTGACACCACCAAAAATAAAAAAGAAAAATCTGGCCCCTCTCCCCAAGTGCAGAACAACCCCCCGACCCAACAAAAAAACATTGCTATGTCTTCAACACGACCGGGTGACCCGGTCATAAGACCTGCCTGGGCGTAATGACCGGTGATCGGCCAGTCGACAAAATCTTCCTAGACTGGGACTTATTTCCTTAGTGAAACAGAGAAAGCCTCCAAACGGCCAATAGACAAAGAACAGTGTAAAAATTTTGGTAACCGATCCCTGCAGTTGCACCCCACTGAGATTTAACTATTCTGTAGTAACCTGGATCGAATGGAGGGTACATTCAGTGCCTTGCCACTCTCGAAACGAAAAAAGTTGGAAGTGCATGTTCCCGCAGAGAGTGGCAAGATGCATCCCTTCATGTAAATAGCAACGCATGCATCTTGCCACTTTCTGAGGAAGATGCACTCGTATCTTTTTTTTTCGCTTGGATAGTATGGCGAGGCCCTCAGTCTACTCTAGCAGACCTGCACCTGGGAAATAAAAAACAAAACTCACCCTTCCACAGACGCCCTCTCCCAAGCCAGAGTCCCAAATGATTTTAATGAAGCAAGAATACTCCTGACGAGCAGAGTATGCGGACATGGGGACTAACCTCAGGACTCCCACTGAGCTCCGTGAGACGATTTGCGAGTCCGTTACGGATGACGATGATGCCAAGATGGCTAAGTGGATTCTGATCAAAAAACTCCCGCACAAATAGCTCGACCACATTCGCCACGACAGCCATTCGGCTAGGCTTGAAATCGACTTCTGCCGCAGAATTTGAGAAGTCCACAATCTATTATACAACAAAAAGACTTGCATCAGTTGAAAGAATCACATATGTATTTAAAGAATCACATATGTATTTCTCGGAACATACGCATACAAGAACGCATCTCCTTGTTATTACAGCCAAATACGCGCACAAAAGCCCCCTGGTGTGTGAATATGTCTTCTCAGACTCGAGCTTCAAGATCACACCACAGTCGTGCATACTCACACAAGGACTTTTTCGCCCGAATCAAATCATTCCTACCGCTAAATACATGCCCAGGGAAGCCACTGCAGGTATGATGTCAGACTCCAGCTGCAGGATTAAACCACATTCACACACACAGAACTAACCGCCTCCAGAGTAACTTCTAACTACATGGCAGAAGATACACTGCCCTACCCGCGGGGTGGTTGACCTTCCACTTGATTACCGTCTTCACCCGAATAGAACACCCGGTCAATATACTGTACGAGGTCCACTGTCGATCTCGATACAGCGATAATCACCAGGTATGCTATTCGGGTGAAGACGGTAGTTGCATTGCAAAGCTACTGATTGCTAATCAGCCACTCAGTAGCATCTTCGATATCAGCCAGCAGAAACAAACAGAAGCCTGCAGTGGACTGTTTTGGAGTTGCAACAGTTTTCGATATCAGCCAGCAGAAACAAACACAGAGCTGACGAGTTCTGAAGAGTTTTAGGCTATCTTCTCATAAGTTGCCTGTGTCTGCCAACAAGAGGATGAACACAAACTGTGATTCAAAACTTTTATAGGATTACACAGTCCATGTGGCTGAATGGTACACGCATCTAACTGTTAGTAAACAGATCACGAGTTCGAATCCTCATAAAATCAGATGAACATCATAATATTAGGGGCCACACTAACATCATTTGGCAGTGGGGGTATGCAAAATTCACACCCCAGTGGCATGGGAATTAAGGAGCCAGAGCATATTTCCACATTGACTAGATGACCCGTTGCGGCTTCGCCCGCAAAAACAGAAAACTAAAAAGCACAAAAGAAAGAAAAAGCATAAGGAACTGCCCTATCATATGCCACTTCTTTCACAAAAACAAAAAGAAGAGCCTGAGAGCATACAGAAATCCACGTGCAAGAAATAGGAGGGAATACCACCGAACTTTTTTTGTTTCTTATCTGCGAGTGTTTTGTTTAGGAAGCCGCTGCCTTTGCAGCATCGTTTTTCTTTGGTGCTGTGCAAGAACTGTGAACTTTTATGAGAAAATCCTGTCCGTAGTACCGTTGACGTTTTTGCTAAAGATTCCGATTCAGACTTTTGTTTTCTATGTTCTCTGAATATGTTTGTGAGAAAGCCATCTTGCATGTATGCCTCCTGCTTACTTGCCAAGTCTTGACTCTATGTGCGCAAGTGCATGCGCGTGTGGGTGAGTTCTCTCAGGTTTGCGATCAATCGATCTTGCATGTATCCCTCTT